GACTCGACGGCACTTAACAACAACAACAAGAGACAATGGAGAAGTTCAATATCATCGTTCAGAATAAGGCAAGGGCCGACTGGAGAACAGACCATCAATTGCTCTTATGCAAGTTCAAGTTGAAGCTCAAAAATTTTAAAACCAGTCCGACCTTGAGTATATACCACCTGAGTTCAAGAATAGTTTTGATGAATTGAACACTAAGGAACGAAGACCAGATTAGTTGTGGGATGAGATCATATATGAAGGAAGTAAAAGGTCATTAAAAGTACAGGAAAGAAAGAAAAGACAAAAATGAATGTCAGAAAAGACTCAGAAACTTGATTTTCAATGTAGACAAAATGAATGGAAGAAATGATGAAGTCAAGACCTGTACAAAAGATTGGAAGTGACATCTTGAGAAGACAAAGCAGAGGATTGTAATGAAATGTGCAATGACATGGATTTAGAAAACTGAAAGGGAAGGATATTCTCTGCACTTTTCAAGCTGAAAGAACTGAAGAAAATAATTCAAGCTACAAGTTGCAATATATAAGGATTCTATGGACAAGATATTGAACAATGCAGAGAGCATCAAGGGAAATTGGAAGACATACAGAGAGGTACTGTAACAAAGTAATTGGTTGATGTACACCTATTTCAGTAGGTAACATATCATCGAAAGGCAATAGTACGGAAGAAGAAGTCCAAGTTGCACTGAAGGCATTAGGAAAAGTACAAGGCTCCCGGAATTGATGGAACACCCACGGAGATGTTTCAACAATGGATGCAATGCTGGAAGCACTCACTCATCTCTGCTGTTTTGATTAGTTTGTGCTACTCTAAATGGAATGGCTTTCACAAGAAGGAGTTTATTCTCTTACAGTTTTGGAGGCTAGAAGTCTGTGTTCAAAGTCTGAAGCTCTAGGAAATGGGTGAAAGGCCCTCAACCTTGGGCTGCATCTCTGCCTCTTGCTCCTGACCCTCTGAAGCTGGAGACTGTCTTCACTCACATAGGTGCTGGCTGCTGAGGCTGACAAACTCAAGGTCAGCAAATAAAATGGCACAGTCCCAATGTTATCAAACAACCCGGCAGACTACTAGTTCAAGTCCGGAAACAGTCCCAAGATCAGCAGGGTATGGCAAGCTACTAAGTGAAGACCTGGCCACATGCAAGGTTCAAGCATACCAAAAGCTACAGACTATTCCTAAACCTTCTCCTTATATACTGGGAGCAGACCCTACCCATAAGGCAGCTCACTGTGGATTCTACCGTGGAGTTGATTACCAGTCTCATCATGCAGCTGCCCAGCCACTCCAAACTGGGCCCACTGAAGTTGACACATAACCTTAACTTGCACATAAGCCAAGACATTGGAAGGCAGGTAAGACAACTGACTGGAAGAGATCCATGAATGCACCTCAAAGAAAGGGGATCCACCAGACTGTGAAAACTCTCAAATGCTATCATTAATATCACACAGAAATAAAGGGTGAACAAACATAATTCTAAAAGTTGTAGCAGTTTATTGACAGGAAACTGTTACAAATTCAATCCAGATTCAGAAAAGGAGGTGGAATGTGCAATATCATTGCTGATAACAGATGGATCTTGGGTGGAAGGAGACAACACCACAAAGATATTTACCTAAGTTTTATTGACTATGCAAAGACGTTTGACACTGTGGATCAAACAGGTTATGGTTAATGTTGAGAAGAATGGGACTTGCAGAACATTTATTTGTGCTCATGAGGAACCTGTAGACCTATAGACCTATAGACCAAGAGGAAGTCGTTCAAACAGAAAATGGTCACTGTGAGTTAGAACCAATCTAACTGCAGCAACAACATTTATCTTAAATCCCTCCACAGTGAAATGCCTCAGAGTGAAATACCAAAGTCACTTGTTCAACACGAGGAATGATAATGTTTCAGAATTAATTTCAGGATGATGGGGAAAAAGATAGCAGTTTTGTCATGAAGTTAAGTAACTGAGTGTGTCAAATGTGAGAGAGGAAGTGAAGCCTAAGCTTGAAGGAGCACAGTAAGATGTAGAAGGCTATGGAGAATGGACCGAATTTCCCACGGCTCCCTACGCTCCTCACATATTTGGAATCTCCATCATATGGAATTCGTTTCTGGGGTCCAACCAGTGTTGCCTGGAGACTATCACCAGAGGAACTTGCCTTTCTATCTCCATGACTGTGTCTCGTGCCTCTAGTGATTCTGGAACCAGGATGAGTCTTAGTCTACTAATGTCCAGAGAAGCCATAATTTTCTCACACATAAGAGTCTGTTTCTGGACTGCTAGCAGGATATTTTATTTGATAACTCCGTTTGCAAACAACAGCTATGGTGCTTAAAGAGGGTTGAGAAGGAGTGTGATGAGAAGGAGCCCATTTGGCACAATGGTGGAGTGCTGGGCTGCCAACCAAAAGGTCATTTGTTTGAACCCACCAGCCACTCAGTGACTTCTGTAGTTTACTCTGTCATATAAGGTCACTATGAGTCAGAAGTACTGGCACCAAGCAACTCAGTAATGGCAGAAAAAAGGCCAGTTCCTCTGGCAATACTCTCAAGGTCTGTGTAGATACAGTAATGAATAGAGTTGTTCATAACACCTGAATTTGTTCACTTGTCATCTCTGTGTGAATACCATTCTACCTGTTAAGAAATAATATCTCATTATACTCAAGTCAAATATCTGTACAACTATTATGCTGAAGAAATGTCTCATCAAGAGCAGTTAGAAGACTGTAATTTCTAGAACCTATATGGTTCAGTGTTTGCATTCTCCACTGTACTGTCATATTCTCCATGGAAACAATTGACATCCGTTATAAGCATTTGCATCACACTTTATCAGATGATTGGATTCCGGGTGACATTGCAAATGGAATTAGAGGATGGGCTCTGAGTACATCATTTGTAGGGCATGAAGGGCTCGTTTTATGAGCATGATACATGAGGGGAAATGGAAACAATGAATGGAAGCACTGGAGGACGCATACCCCTTAGAGCTCTCCAAGTAGACGAGGACAGTCTGTTGAGGAATCTCAGCAAACAGGGCAGAGCCTAGAGAAAGCGGTGTAGTGGCTGATGAGCACAAAGGGGCAGAGTGTTGGGAAACATGCATCCATTCCTGCAATGGCATTGGCCAGCCGTGCATCGGTTCTATCAAGGGCAGTTACATAAATTGTCAGGTAAGCAGAGATTGCATAAAAGAACACAAAGATGCTCACCAGTGTGAGGACACTCTGGATGGCTCTGGTCTCAGGGGATGACCTGGAAGACAGGGGGCTGTGAATGTGTTGGACTCGCTGCTTGTGCCTGAACAGGATAAGCACCATGGAGCCACTGGCCCCAATCATGGGTCCCAGACACATGACATCAATGGAGGTGAACACGATTGCATTTAAAGTGAGAATTACTCTCTCTGGGTATGTACTGGTGCAATGCGGGAAGATCTGCTCCCCTGTGAGATTTTCTCTGCTATGCTTGGCAATCATATGCATGGGAATAGGGGCATTTCCCAGCATGTGCAGGACCCAGCACAGGCAGATACAGGGACCAATGAACTTGGGAGCTCTGAACTTGAGTTCCAGCCACCTGGAATTACTGGGACTGATTATGATGGCCTGAAAGATACTCAAGAGGCAAGTGGAGCCAAGGGACACTCCCCTGCCCACTCTGTGGAGATAAAAGAAAAGTTTACAAATGACATCATGAAAGAAAAAAGGCAAACGAAGAGTTTTCACTGTGTGAGTTACTCCTCTCAAGAGAAGCACCATGGAGTTGGCCAAGGTCAGGTTTTGGAGAATTGGATCTATGGGCCTCACTCTGCTCCCAGTGATGTCGCTGAGAATATAATGGCAGAGGAAGGCAGAGTTTCCCAAGAGTCCAATTCCAGTCAGTGACAGGATGATGATTCCTATGGCCAAGTCTGTGGAGGCCATTCTGTCACCTTCCTGGAAACGTTATTTGATTGCAGAGCCTGACGATCCTGGGTAGACACACAAGGTGTGGGCTGCTTTCTGGACGGCATCGGAAATACCATGCTCCCTGACAATCATTGCTTCCCACTGGACGTCCTGATGTGTCTTCATAGTAGGAAGCTCCCTATGTTTGAAGGTATTCTCTAAATTTCAATTTAAAATACACATTAATAGTGGCTTTGGCGTAAAATCTAAAAGCTCTATGCCATTGACTCAGCAGCCAGCACTGTCCCCAGTGCTTTTCCAAGAATTTTAGGGAAGCAGCCCAGCCTACTGCCGTCGAGACGGTTCTGACACGTGACCACCTCCCACGTTACCGAGTGGAGCTGCTCCAGAGCGTTCTCTTGGCTGTGAGCTTTATGGAAGCAGATCTCTAGGCCTTTTTCCATGGGACCACTGTGTGGGTTCAAACCCCCAACCTTTAGGTTAGCCATCGAGCGCAAACTGCTTGTGCCGCGTGGGGCCATACCACCTGATTTCAATTCCCCAAAAACCCTGTAAGAGAGAAAAATAGGAGACCATGTTCAGATCGGTTCCTCAGGCCCAGAGATTGGATATGATTTCTCAGTTCTCACAGATATTTACCTCAACATAAATCCTGATTAGAACCTTTCCTCTCTGCCTCCAAAGCAAATAGTAACTGACGTTGTGTTTGAACTATGGGTGTGAGTTCTCATCCTCAAATACTGCTTATCTGAATTTCCATGCATAATTTGAAAGCTTTTCAGTTTGACATTTTCTCCTTTTCAGTATTTATTTATTTCACTTGTATTGTGGTGAAAACATGCACAAATGACCCTTCACCAGCATAGCAACTTCCACATTTACAGCTCAGGGACATTGATGATATTTTGCATGTTGTGCCGCATTACTGCTATCCTTTTCCAAAACATTCCACCACCATTAGCATAAACTCAATGCCTTGCAAACACGGTTTCCCCTTTTCTCTCCTTTCTACCCTGGTAACCACTAAGAATCTTCGGTTTTCTACTTATACATATATATCTTTTTTTTCAGTATAATTTAAAATTTCCTGCTTATTCATAAAAGATCATATGCCTGTCTCATGTTTAAATAAAACACAAGAATCAAAATGTTGTTGTTGTTGTTCTTGTGTGCCGTCGAGCTGGACCCAACTCATAGCTATCCCTCCTTGGTTGCCGAGGCAGTATCACTGGGGAGTAGATTGCCCAACCTTCCTTATGAGGAGTGGCTGGTGGGTTTGAACTGCCAGCCTTCTGGTTAGCAGTCAAGTGCTTTAGGCACTACACTACCAGAGCTCCATCAAAATAGCCTCATAATTCAGGGATAAATGATTCCTGCCCATGCTTCCTGAGCAGAGCCTGATATTCCTGGAGGGGAAGTAAGGAGCAGATTTATTCCAGAGTCACAGTCACAACACATTTAACCACCATGACCTCTAGTTGCTAGGATGGAATGTACCGAACCAATGCCAAGGGCACATCCAGGGCCAGGGGGCATCTCTTACCTGCTGGTTTGCTGCCCTCAGGCCTCTGGGAAGGTCCTCTTGACTGGGGATCAGCCATGCACCCAGTTCTGTCCTTGAAAGAAAGAACCCATCTTCTAGCTAACAGTCATCGAAGTGCCCAAGAGACAGTCTTTACTTTGCAGACTCTCAGTCTGAAATAAAGCAACTCCCCTATGTATGTAGTGAACGGATGCCACCAAGGCGATGGGTGAAGGGTTGAGAAAGGGAATCAGACCAAGATATAGAGAAATAGAGGCAGAGAAAGAGCAAAAGACACAGAAAGATGGAGTATAAAGCAACAGAGAGACAGAGACAGACACAAAGACAGACAGAGAGGTTGCAGCCTGTCTACTGTAGGGAGGAGGCAGTGACCCAGGATATAGGTTTGGATTCTCTGACCTCATCTCCCATCAGGTGAAATTATCATGTCACACAAGCAGCGATGACAGCGTCTGCTTAGGGAGTTGGGGCTGACTCTGAAAAACACTTGTTCCCACTAATGAGCACAAGAAACTTTTCAATGGAGCAGTGAGCATGACCAGAGGGACAGGCTGGTGGCCTGGGAGGGAGGCTCTGTCCAGGGCATCAGGAGTCAGAGAGTGAGTCCAGAGAGAGGGGACTGCTGACTTCAGGGACAGAGGGGACTGGAAGGGAAACATGTGGCTGCCTCTGGGCTCTGTGCCTGAGAAGTTTGTCTCCAAACCTTTCTTGTTGTTAGTTGCCATGGAGTCGATTCTGAGGCATGGAGCCCCATGTGTGCAGAGTAGAACTGCTCCTCAGGCCTCTCAAGGCTGTGGCCTTTCAGAAGCAGATGGCCAGGCCAGTCATCTGAGGAGCCTTTGGGAGCTCAGCACTTCACAGTTTGGCCCATCCAAGGATTTCCCCAAACATTGGGTTGATTATTGTCACACAGATAGTGGGCTGATGGGCTCTCAGTGGTCAGGCATTAGACAGAGTCTGTCTTAGTTCTGTAGTGCTGGTAGAACAGGGATACCACAGTGGGTAGCTTTAGTTATCCAAACCAAACCCAGTGCCCGTGAGTCAATTCTGATGCATAGAGACTCTGTAAGACAGAGTAGAACTGTCTCATAGGTTTGCAAGACCATAAATCTTTATGCAAGTAGAATGCCTCATCTATCTCCTGAAGAGCCAATGGTGTGTTTGTACTGCCAAAGTTTTGGTTCACAGCTGAGAGCTTTAACCACTGCACCAGCAGGTCTCCTTGGTGCCTTGAACAGAAATTTCATATTCTCAAAGTTTAGGAAGCTGTTGTTGTTATTAGGTGCCCTGATGGCAGTTGACTCATAGTGGCCCTGTGTGCAACAGAAGGAGGCACTGCCCAGTCCTGCACCATACTCATAACGCTTGCTCAGCTTGAGCCCATGTTGTAGCCCCTCTGTCGATCCATCTCTTGAGGGTCTTCCCTTTTTCCCTCCTTTTGGCAAGCATGTTGTCCTTCTCCAGGGACTGGTCCATTCTGACGTGACAAAAATAGGTGATATGCACTCTGGCCACTGTCCCTTGTAAGGAGCATTCCGGCTGTACTTCTTCAAGGACAGATTTATTAGTTCTTCTGGCAATCCATGGTATATTCAGTCGACTTTGCCAAGACACAATTCGAAGGCATCAAGTCTTCTTCAGACTTCCTTATTCATTGTCCACCTTTCATATGCATATGAGGCAATGGAAAATCCCACAGCTTGAGTTAGGTGCACATTAGTCTACAAAGTGCCATCATTGCTCTTCAATACTTTGTTTATTTAACTCTATGTGATTTTATTGAATATACAAAAATATTTACATCTCACTAGCTTAGTAACATTCAGGAATATGTATTGGGTATTCAGATCAAGGAATATGTGGCCCTAGGAACCAATAGCATGGTTTTGGAAAGCATAGGACTTACACATCTGTATCAGGAGAGCCTAGGTTATATACTAATGTAACAAATGACCCCCACATCTGAGGAGTTTGCAAGGTTTCTTTCTTGTTCATATTACATGTCAGTGGGGCTCTCCTTCATGCCATTTCCACAGAAGGATCCAGTCCTAATCTGGGCATGATCAATCTTCTAGTACAGGAAGAAAAAAAAAAATAATAATAAAAAGAAAGATGAGTGAGAGAATCCCATTTGAGCAGAAGCTTAAAGAGCCAACATGTCCTTCATCATGATCTCATTTTCCTGGTCTTCAATGCTTTAAATACGTCTTTTACAGCTGATTTGCCCAGTGCAACATGAT